AGGCCCGGCCCCTGCCGAACGGAGTTGCCGGCGGAGCGAAGTGGAGCTGGCAACTTCGTTTGGCGGAAGGGCGGGCCTGCTTGTTTGAAATTATAATCTTTTATAGGGAGTTTCGGCATATGACACAGGAAAACATTTGGTCGGCATTCGTCACCTACATAGATAAGAAGCAAATAAACCGAGTTTGGGCACGATCGGGAATTTACACTTGCCTAAGTCAAGTCCCCGCAGGCCGCGACGAGGGCGGCGACGGCGTCGGCGGGGTCCAGGTGCCGGGATGTCGGTCTCGTCTGTGGCAGGACGGTGAGGCGGCGGGGCGGCCGCCGGCAGCTGGACCCGGGTGGCGGCGCTACTGCTGGGATGTGGCTCCAAAGGTGGCCGCGGCTCCAGCAGGGGGGAGCCGTCCGGGAAGTAGACATGAGGGAAGACGGGGGCGATGCCCACGGAGACGCCGCTGGTGACCAGTCCCATAGCGTCAACCAGCTTCGCCTGGACGAGAAGGTGCCCCTCCCCGGGTGGCAGAGCAGCCGGGCGCACGTGCACACATGCGTGGTCCAGGGAGGTGCCGAGCAGGTGCTGGAGCAAGGGAAGAGGATGCGATGCGGCCAGGTCACATACCAGCTCCCCTGCCCATGTCGACGGCGCACAGTGGGTGGAAATAAGTAAACGTGGGACAAAATTCAACCGCTCAACGGAGGACAGTGAAAATTGGTATCGAGTCGTTTTAAATAACGTAGAAGTCATCTATGACATACATTTCGATCTAAAATGTTTTAGTGGTATTAGATACAGTAATGCCATGTCGAAAAATTATTTTAATTTACATATTTTTGTAAAAAAAAAAATTGGTGCCAAGGCAACAAAGCTTTTATGAAAGAAGAAACGATTTTCAATGAAAAACAGAACGAACAGCACGAGAAATCACGAAGTGCAACTTTGTCGTTTGTCCTTCCCCTGCACAGGACAACCTAACCTCAAAATATTCTTTACAGCCATCCTTTTATGACCTACTTCTCTCCAGAGCTTGATTTCAGTTGAAATTAAAGCAATTTTTTTAACGTCCCCACCTATTGCCATACCAGTCTCGTGTCAAACTGTCTGAAACTAAAAAAACTGACACTATGTTCCCCGAGCAACCTAACCATCGGGCGGGTCGCATCCCGGTCGCATCGGAGGCAGTATTCGTAGTTTGAAAAGGGCTTTATCACCCATACAATAAAGAACATATTTCAATTTAGTTCGGCCCGGCGAATGCCGGCTATCAATAGACATTCCTTATAAACCAACGGTTACGTCGCAGAGTTTTACCGACTTGATTTAAGTTTAAATACTAATTCGAGTGAGGAAAACTGTGGTTCTAAAAATATATTTTGACCTTTCTTTGCATCTTCTCGGTGACGGCTTGTCCAGTTACGTCCGTTTTCATTGCGAAAAAGTAAATTTCAATATGGTCTCATGGCGCGGACTGACGCCGGGCGGCAGAGATGTAACTTCAGATACTCCTACAAAGCACGAAAATACTTCTACAGTAAACCACAGCAAAATTATGACCTTTAGGATGTTATCCATCAGTATGCCTCACTGATTGGTGTTTTTAGACAATTACAAAAAGTAATTTTTGTCCCTGAATTTTCGATTTCCACCCACTGTGCGGCGTGCCCGCTCAAGATGGTCAGGGTCGAGCGGCGAGGAGCAGACCGACGCGACGTCCGAGTGGCAGCCCAGCTGATGATCTCAGCGAGTCGCGCGGAGGCTGCAGCAGCCCGCTCCACACTGCACACACAGTGGACAACGCCGTCGACCACAGTGGGACTGGGGCGTTGTTCAAGGCTTTGTTTATGTCCTCGGCCGACGGGACGCGCTGGCGAACACGTGCCGCGGCAGCGCAGTCCTCCCGAGCGAGGAGGCCGCTGTACTTCAGCACGAGAAGGCGTAAGTCAGCTGCTGGCAGGGTCGCAGAATCTTCCGCGACGGTACCCGTCAGCAAGACAAAGTCCGCTGACGAAGAGGGGAGGGGGGAGGGGGGACCAACCACACACACAACCGCTCCCGGCCGCACCAAGCGCCAGACTCGAAGCGGCAGGGGCGGCAGGCAACACGAACAGCGCACACATTGGGCGGGGTTGCCTACGCTCCTGCGAACGAGGCGGTAGGGCGGGTGCCGGCTAGAGCAACGCCCGGGCACGCTCTCTGCTCTGGCGGCCGCGGGCAAAAACATCGTGCTCGTCGACCTGACCCACATGCGCCTGCTGCCGCGCGAAGACGCCAGGGTGAACAGCTGACGAACACTACAACCGCGCCTGACGCCGCCGCGCACACGGGCATTCTGTCATTGTCTCAGACCCGACCCGACGCCCAAGGTGCTCGTGCTCGACGCGAGTGGCGGTGATCTGCAGGAGGCGCTCAGCTCAAGAGCATCGACCTGGTGTCCGTGTCGACTGCCTCCATCCTGTTTTGCCCCTTGGCGTCGATGTCCGGCCTGGAGAAACTAGAACTGGCGGCGCTGCCGTACGCACTCAGACCGTCATGAACCGTCGCCGTCGTGCACAGCGGCGTGACGTGAAGCCGACAGGACGCCGCTCTGCAAGAGCTTGACCTCCTCCGTCGTGCCCCTGCTAGCCAACCTGCCCAACCTCCGCGAAATGACGTGCAGCAACCTCCCCGGGCTGGAGGCTTTGGCTGCCTGAGAGTCCCTCCGCGTCCTGTACCTCTTCATCTTAACCAGCACCTAGTACAGGTCGGCAGACGCGCGGGCCACCACGCTCCTCCGCGAGGGCAAGGACCTGGGCAAAGTGGAGCGGCTGTGGCCGGGGCAGGCGATGGAGACGTGGACACCGTCATGCTCGTTGGGGACGTCGAGCATGGAGAAGGTCACCGGCCACAACTTCGGCGCGGAAGTTCACGATTGACCACTTCCCCCAGCTTACAGCCGCTGCGTGCAAGGCTCTGCCGTCGCTGCAGGTTTTGTGCACCCCCCTAGGGTATTTGATGTGCCATATTGTCTAAATCACAGATACAAACTTGTGTATGCTCTCCTGAAAAATTAGGTTTTTGGACTTATCCCCTTTTCATTTTTCACCAGTGAACTGTCAAGGTAATGAGGAGTAATCAAAAATCCGAGTTTACTTTTGAATGTGCATTGTTTAAATATTTAATAGTCCCTGGTCATTACACAAACATTGCAAACTGCAAAGTATGGCAGTGCTAAGACTACAACAAGTGTTAAAAGGAAGATTGGAACATATAAAACAGTCTTTTGAAACTTTCAAAAACCTTGCCAAAAATGAGAGTTACAAGAAAACTCATAAGAACAAAGTCAAAGTACACTCGATAAATGAGAAAGCACAATTAGAAAGGACATGCCTAGAAACTAATATAAAAAAGAACTAAAATGATAGCAACATTGTGCAACAGAAATAAAGCACCACAAATTACTAAGACAACCAACCACGAAAGCAAATATGTAAATTCACGCACTCGCTTCAGACAACACAAAAATAACAACTTTTGCTAATGTGCAGTACGCGGACAATCAATTCTCGACTTACTGAGAAAGACATGAATAGTATTCTAATCTTACAAAAGTGGGTATACAATAACGGGAAAAACATTTCCGGGGGCTTGGGTGCAGTCAGGTCTTCGCTCTGTGTTGAGCGTTCTTTCCACTTAACCTGTCTTGAAAACCAGGACGATAAAGCCACCGATGAACAGTAGTAGGGAGGCTGCAGACCGTGCAGAGTTAGTCCTAGAATCAAAAGAAGTCAGGTTATACATACATACACGATACCCGTGAGATTTGAGAGACGACGATGACGATTTGTGTCAAACGAAGTTTAATACGCAAGGGAGTTTGTAACTGTAACATAAGTCTGTTACGTATCTCGAGACCACTTTAACCGTG